AACAACCTTTTCCACTATATCTCCAGCAGTGGATCGCACAATTTCATAGAAATTATTTGGTGTGTATTTATCAGAAATCCAGAACGAGACATCTTTATATGTTGGTGGATATTTGCTGAATGGTTTGAACTGAACTATTTTGTTTTCTTGAAACTGGGACAGGAATCTTTCATCCTTGCTCCAAAATAAACGGATATCTGGGATGCCAAATAATTTCATAGCGAGACGCTCCAGACCTATTCCAAATGCCCAACCAATCTTGTTTCCTGCACCAGCTTAAATCAAATGTAAGAAAATGTAATGAATTTTTGATTGATAAACCATAGCATGTAGCTGCTTTTTTAACTGGGGATTAGTTAATATTGTCAACTAGTGATACACAACTGAATTCCTTAACATAAGTTGGTTAGAATTAGGATGTCATTTTTGCACACCCCCCCTGCACCCCTGTTGACTAGAGCCTGGGGGGTGCGCCCCCCCCCCCCTAAATCCACCACTGGTGATATAGCTGTGTATTACCCACCATTTTTCAGTATATCATGTTGTAATATCCCACAACCTAACAATTCCATCCACTCATCTTCAACTTTGATCTCCATTTCCCATGAAGGATGAGTGAAGGGAAAATATGCATCAACCCAGCGAATCTCAACATTCTTATCACATAAATGTTCAACAAGACCACTTAGCGTCTCCTTGAGGTTATGTTCCACCAACTTCACAGCCTCCAAACTGTGAACTACTTGCTTTTCTACCATTTGCTCACTGTCATCTGAGAATATGTCCAATGCATCCTGAAAGAAAGACATAATTATATGGACCACAATATGTCCCATCATCAAATCAAAATGCATAGTATCGGAATTGTTATCATATTAAATTAATAAATTTAGCTGGTATCGCTTATCCTTACTAGAATATAATTTTTATAGTAATACAATTATTGGTCTATTACTATAATACTTTTGCTGGAAGTATTGAAAAGTGTTAGGTTTTAAAAGATTAGCAAATAGCTAAGTAATTCAAGCTTAAATTAACCCTATAACCCTATAATTAAACCCACTGAGCCGCAATGCACCCCAAAGTGGCCTACTTGGGGTTTTTTTACTTGTCTAACAGCAGACGATTTTACTCGTCAATGGGGAAGCTCTGCAGCTTAATGGGTTAAGATAGGGGGATAAGTAGGCTGGTAACAAGTGATGGAGGGGAGAACGTTTGGAAATTAAAAATTTAATAGTAAATATATAAAGCATCTAAATTGCACGGCCAACATCTCTGCTGCCGCACAACACAAACTTTCCACACTGGTGCAAATTTGTCTAGCTTTCAGAAGTTTTGTTTGCATTTAAACCAATTTTGTAGAAACACTTTTCATGAGCAGACCAATGAAATATACTAACTTGATAATTCTGAAACAGCTCATGTTTGACAAACAGTCTGACACCTTCCATCTGATGAAACACAGGATAGTGTGTTCTATCTATTTCATCACGACGATAGACATCACCCGTTAGCACCCACGCATCTAGTCCCATCTTGAGCAGTTCTCTCTCATGAGCAGTCGTATGAGCTCGTAGTAATATATCTTTATTGATATAATAATTATCATTTCTTGATCTTGCAATGTGGTTAACTGGTACTAACAGACTGTCAAAATTCTGATCTATAGATACCACTGGACTAACATCGTCAATCATGGTAAACACAGGTGAGCCCCAACGTGTGCGATGTGCTGCGTACAAATAAGTATGTATTTTATCTTTTAAGATTTTCAACGGATGATCAGCTAAGTTATGAAGTCTCTTATCTAGTTTAGATAAAATACTTGGTGTAATATTTGTCATTTCATCGGTTCGATATGACTTTCCAAGCACAATAATATCCCTATTTTGGTCATTTACAACGCTTTCAATGCCTGACGAGAATCTCTGTGTCTTCATTCGTTCAAAACCAAAATATGTCCGAGATGGAAAAGCTCCAAATAGTTTAAAACTTTTCATCCTAGCAGCCAGGAATTGCACCCTGGCCGCCATATTGAATTTCAAATATCGTGCCCAGAGCAATGCCTGTGCGCGGGCTAGGATGGCATTTAGCCTCCTCCGCAACTCCGCAGGCATCTCACCCGACAATCTCGTTCCCAGAGTATGTCTGTTCTCTGGCACACTCTGGGAACGAGATTGCTCACCCGACGAATCGGGTGGTGGGAAAAAGTTTGGTGAAATTTTTTTTTTCAAACCCATTCGCAGGCTAGAACCCATAGAGAGGCCTGCGGAGGAGGCTAGATGGCATTGGCTCTGGGGAAATTGAATTTTTCCTGTGCTGTGATTGGTTTAACGTTTGTCAATCGTGCATGCCGACAAAGAACCGGAACCCCTAAATTTAGGGGTTCTGGTTGACAATTTCCCCAGAGCCAATGCCTTCCTAGCCCGCGCACAGGCATTGCTCTGGGTACGAGATTGTAACAACGTCAGAACCAATCTCGAAACCAGAGCCCGCAATCCTCTGTGGAGGCTTGCTGAGGCTCTGGGAAACACCGGCGATTTTTGCACGAAAATCAATACATTTGGATCCAGTACTCCGCTCCACATTTATAAATAGACATTACTGCCGTCAAACATGAATTATGCATTTTTTTCTGTGTTGGTGTAGTGTACTCAGGTGAATATGATATTTGTGGTGTTACTCTGAGTGTATATCCACACCAGGCGAGCTTGAAAAATATGCCCGGCCACGGTGGGATTCGAACCTACGACCTTTGGAATACTAGCCCAATGCTCTTCCAACTGAGCTACGCGGTCAGGACGGTTCGAGTAAGTGATATTTCGGAACAGAACCTAGTTCCTTCGATACCAATGTATTCTAGTAATATGAATTTTTTGCCGTATGAATTATGCCGTTGTTTAAGCTTATTACGGCTTTAATTCTTCAAAGAACACTTGCCATGGTTTTGAATTGTTGTAAGATACTGGTAGTGATTTATTTTAACTTGTTTAATTACGGTAAATCCAACCTCGTTCCCAGGCTCTTTGCTCTTGGGAAGCAAAGACCCTGGTCGGGGCTGGTCATGTGGACCATAGAAAATTGATAACCTAAGAGGGGGATGGAAAAGTATCAAATTGCATGTTTCCACTTCCGCACCTCACACTTCGATTGCAAGGAGTGACCGTGCTATACAATCATCTTTGAGAATCATATATACTTCAAAATACTTGCTAAATTGGTTTCTGTTTGCTTTTAAATTATACAAACATGCTAACTGTAGATTCTTATAGCAACAAACAAGTCAGAAAATCAAGCAACGAAAACGTATGATCGTATATGCTTGGAAATATTTGCCCTTTTATTGTCTCGGGGTTCGGGCGCAGTTTCATTTCACGCGTACGTTATCTGGCTCTGGTTCAGATACGTATAATATTCTTATAATGTGCCATTGAATTGTTGTCATATGGAAACGGTATAAATTTTGTTAAATAGAGGTCTCAAAAGCGACTGTGTAGGTCGTAGGCGCTGCGCCTTGCTGGTCCTACAGCAAACGTTACACATTTGGACACTAGCCAAATAGACATTGAATGTCCATTCTATTGATTCTAAAACGGTTTATAGACATAGTGCTCTAGATTTTTTTAAAAAGGTTATCATCGTTTATATTAACACCAGGTAGAAAGGAGTGTTAACGTACATGTACAAAATTGTTTGGGATCGACAGTAAAGAATTATACGACAAATCACAACTGTATGCATTTCATAAGTTCTTTGAATGTTTGCATGGCGATAAAATATAATTGTTTTTGTTTGTGGAAACACCACGTAAATTTATTACTGCAAAGTTTTCGATCCGTAAGCCCGGATCTTCATCAGTGCTTTACATATTTATTAGCACTGATGAAGATCCGGGCTTACGGATCGAAAACTTTGCAGTAATAAATTTACGTGGTGTTTCCACAAACAAAAACAATTGTATGCATTTCCTTTTTTGTCTGCACGAGTACCTGTTTGTTGAAGCCAAAATCAGATTGCACAGAATCTCCGATATGAATTATATAGCCAAACACCCTCGCCCCTTGAATGCAAAGGAATGATAGCCGAAAAGGTTTAGCAAAGTATTTTTTATTATATCTGGTATAAAGGTTGTTTACCATTTACATGGAAAACCCATCCGGTTTGAAATTGTGCTAATGGTAAGCAAAATTTCGGATAGAAAATCCCATTCGGATTATGTGCTTTCCATTTAATAATTTCAATTGTTAAATCGAGAAGAGCCTGGAACTGGTGAAAAAATAAAAAATATGTAAATGGAATAACATCTACCGGTTGAAACGTTCCAATCGGTAAGAGAGGACAACCTTTTCAAACAAACCGTTCATTCCGGAAAAGTTCCGGTTGGGTCGAAATATGCTTGTTCCATTTACTTTCCGTATGGAATCACCGGAATTTCCATGTAAATGGTAAACAACCAAAGTGTCCCTACGTTTTATCAGGGATATATATATATATATATATATATATATTCAGAGTTGTTCATCCTTGTTCATCTCTCGTCATCCTTGGTTAAATCGACTCAAAATTGTCCTAATATATAAAAAAAGTATCAAAATATGAATATTCAGCTGTTAGGAGGAGCGATTTAGAGACTTTTTTGGAAAAATAATGGCAAAAAGAAATAAAGAAAAATTGTACGAAAAGTTACGAGAGTTTTACCAGGAAACTGTCCACAACTTTCGCTCATGATGGCCTCAGTCTTTACCACTATACCATGATGGCAACGATGTGAACAGCTAACATATTACAATTCTTCAATATTCTCTGTTCTGCGTTGAACTAGCTGTATGTTGATTTTTTCGATTTCACCCTGCAGTAGAATTCTCTTCAGCGCTGTACATCTTTGTTCATCCCTCGTCATCCTTGGTTAAATCGACTCAAAATTGTCCTAATATACAAAAAAGTATCAAAATATGAATATTCAGCTGTTAGGAGGAGCGATTTAGAGACTTTTTTGGAAAAATAACGGCAAAAAGAAATAAAGAAAAAATTATAGGAAAAATTACGAGAGTTTTACGTGGGAACGGTCCACAATTTTCGCTCATGATGGCCTCAGTTTTTACCACTATACCATGATGGCAACGATGTGAACTGCTAACATATTACAATTCTTCAATATTCTCTGTTTTGCAATTGTACTAGGTGTATGTAGATTTTTTCGATTTCACCCTACAGAAGAATTCTCTTCAGCGCTCTACATCTTTGGTTGAAGTGTATCCTGTCCGATATTCAACAAAGCCAAAGGATTTATTTTATAATGGAAGATTTCCCAAACATCAATAACTGTGCGTAAACAATAGTGCTTTCTTGACTGTGAAAGCAGAGGATTAAAACCCGTTATGGACTGTAAAATTCCTTTCATTTACATTGCTGAAACTCAACGATCAAGAATGATCAGTATGTCGAAGACTCGAAGTATAGCTATCTGTCATCACACGAACACCAAGACCACTGTGTGTTTATATATATATATATATATATATATACATATATATACATATATGTATATATATACATATATATACATAATTCATAAACTGTATATATATGCGCACGAAGTCCGGCTCATAGAATTACTTATAATTAACTTTTAATAAGCCTTTTTAAGTTTCCATTGATAGATACGTTGTTTGCCTCTAGTATGGTTTGGTGAAACTGCTAAAATGTCATTTATACAGTATACGATAAAGATTATTTAATGTTGATTTAAATATTGATGACTCACAGCGGCATTATACAAGTCGAAAGAAGCTGTCGGGTTATTCTTCAAATATAAAGCCCTGAATGGGCAATGGAATGAAAGGTCTTGATAAGGTTTATAAATTAATGTACCTGCTGTAAATTACTGTAATACACAAAATATGAAATAATTTACTATGAAGTACAATACCAGTGTCTGGTGCATATATCGTCCTAAATATTCAAGTTATATGTACCGCACGCACGGAAACACACAGTGGTCTTGGTGTTCGTGTGATGACAGATAGCTATACTTCGAGTCTTCGACATACTGATCATTCTTGATCGTTGAGTTTCAGCAATGTAAATGAAAGGAATTTTACAGTCCATAACGGGTTTTAATCCTCTGCTTTCACAGTCAAGAAAGCACTATTGTTTACGCACAGTTATTGATGTTTGGGAAATCTTCCATTATAAAATAAATCCTTTGGCTTTGTTGAATATCGGACAGGATACACTTCAACCAAAGATGTAGAGCGCTGAAGAGAATTCTTCTGTAGGGTGAAATCGAAAAAATCTACATACACCTAGTACAATTGCAAAACAGAGAATATTGAAGAATTGTAATATGTTAGCAGTTCACATCGTTGCCATCATGGTATAGTGGTAAAAACTGAGGCCATCATGAGCGAAAATTGTGGACCGTTCCCAGGTAAAACTCTCGTAATTTTTCCTATAATTTTTTCTTTATTTCTTTTTGCCGTTATTTTTCCAAAAAAGTCTCTAAATCGCTCCTCCTAACAGCTGAATATTCATATTTTGATACTTTTTTGTATATTAGGACAATTTTGAGTCGATTTAACCAAGGATGACGAGGGATGAACAAAGATGTACAGCGCTGAAGAGAATTCTACTGCAGGGTGAAATCGAAAAAATCAACATA